TGAGCTACTGCATATATACAGCAGTTAATGGGAACTTGATTTGCTAAGCAAAGCTTGACAAGGAATTGCATAAGCAGAAATAAAATTGTCTTCTTCCTTCTCTAATAAACAAAAAGATTTGGCTATTCAAGGCTGTACTTAAGAGGATAAAATTTTTTTGTCAACCTTTATTAAAAGCATGTAAGGACATGATTCTCTTCCAGACTTATGAAATACTCTTCTACACTTTTTTTTTCTTGTAACTCCTCTGAAGTAGCTCATTAAGGTTGAGGCAACCCTGGGCTAGCTGGACTAGCAGAGCCTTTCTTTTTTCCCTAAAAGTAGTTCTGTTTATCCAGTTTGGTTTTCACCACACATTACTCCTAAGTTTTGCCGTCCTACCTTTCTAGTGGCATCACATCGCTTGAGATCTTTCCTGTGAGGGGAGGACCTCAGTTCCTGCTTAGCTCTCAGAAAATTCCGAGTCAACATATTTGGAGTTTTTCTATTCAAACTGCCAGAATTTCCACTCTGTAAAAATCCAGAAGCTTCAGACTCTTGCTGTGTGTTAGTATGAAAACCAAATAATGGAAGATCAGAATTTCCCAACAATTCAACATTACAGATTTCATTCATTTGTCCTATATGGGATATGTACTGCTGACCATATACTACTGGATTATTGCTTGCTTGGGGAAGGTCTTTTCCTCATGTTGCTTATATATCTGTGTAAAATCAGACTTTCCAGACAGGTAGGCTCAAACTCTTATCTGTACCACAACATATTTGGCCATTTGCATCTGTCAACAACAGAATCCTACAACTGCAGGGAATCAAAGCCAATGAGTTTTTTCAGTATAAACGAAGGACTGAAAACAAGTGGACAGGTCTTATTTCCAGCTCATGTCATGCTGAAATAGATAGAAATAATATTTTTTCAATACCAAATAGCAACAAGAAAGTATTTGCTAGACCTAATAATATACAGTGATTATTTTTATTAAATTCCTATCCCTCTGGAAATGTCAGAAAACTTTCTCCAGTCTAAAGTAAAGTTTAAGAGAATGAAAGACATCATAAAGTAACCATATAGAATCAAAAGGGATTAAACTAACCTACAGCCAACCTCTAATACTTAACACAGCAGCTATACTAGATTGCAGGTTTCCATGGAAAAGAAAAATACTCATTTTAATCATAATGAAAAATGTCAAACACCAATGACTTCATGATAGAGAATTTTATCCTTTTCACTAGTGAAACTATGTGCAACCTTTTCCTTACACATTTCTGTTGAACATTATATTTGTAAGCACACAGAAAACACCCACAACTTTCTTAAACTGTAAACACTTTACACTAAATATTTCAAAATAATTTTCAATCCTTTAATTCACTGTGTTTTCCACCTTGTGAAGACCTTTTTTAAGAAAAGTCAAGTTCCTGCAAGACATTTTCAGAATCCACCTTGTGCTACAGATACAACTGGAGTCGTCCAATGACCTTTCTGCACCCTCTCACGCAACTTGATTCAAGATCTTAAAATATTGTTCTTTTGCCACTAATTTTAATGCCTATTTTAGTGCAATTCAAATTGTTTGAAAGAAAAAAGTATTTTGAAATGGCTTCAAAAATGCAAGCATATCCAGTTGGATAAATATAAGCAAAGGTGAAGTCATCATTACAGGCTTTCATTTTACTCCTGCTGATGGCGAAATGTCAGCAAAAGGTTCCCAGCAACACTTCCAAAAATGAGTGCCATTCATGAGACTAATTCTTGAATGTGAGAGTGGAATTGCGTCCAGCCTAAGCAGAAGAAAATCACTGCCCTTTCTGCATCTATACGGAAAATACCAGGCTTTCTTGTTATGCTGAAAACACCAAAAGGTGCTGGCATCACTCACATCTGTGAGAATTGAAATGTCAGGTTCACTCTGGGAGAGAAAAGAATCCTCAGGTGCTCATTACTACTAAAAAGTGTTCCCACAGAAACCAAACCCCAGGCTATCTCTACATGATCAGTTTTTAAAGGTTAATTAACAATAGCAAGTGATAAAAATTTATAACTTGATGCTTATAATTTTTTAATGATGTGATTTCCAAGCTTTTATCATCGGGCTTACACTTGAAATCAGAGTCCCATCTGCTCACATCTCAGAAAACCCTGGGGGAAAAAAATAAAATTTAATATTCTAAACCTTTTGCTCCATGCTGGAGATACAGAACTCATTTGTTTTCCATTCCTATGCCCCCAAGACACAGATTCTAAGCAAGTTAAAAACAAACATCTTTAAAAGCTTTCCATCATGGGCGTGCTACCAGTTTAACAAAAAAATTTGGAAACAGTGTATCATGGTTTAACCCCAGCCAGCCACCAAATCCCACGCAGTCACTTGCTCAGTCCCCTGCCAATAAGAAAGCCAGTATACTTGTAGGTTGAGATAAAGACAGTTAAATAGAAAAATTCAAGACTGAAATTTTAAGAATTCATTCAATCCAGCACAAGATCAAGTTCCTAACTGTTCTAACATCTACTTTCTGAAGACTGGCTGTCAGTTTACCATGCCCACATCAGTCCTACAAAACCCTGACCGTTTACTGTACATATCATATTATCAACAAGAAAGAAAAATGTCTATCAAGCAATTATATACTACACTGGACATGGTTGCAGCTGAACTAGACTGTAAAAGCAATATTATTTAACAGAAATTACTAATATGCTGAAATGATTGACAGAAAAAAAAATCATTTGGTCTAGCGATACACTAAAAGAAGATATTATAATATAACAGTAACTATAACATTAAATTCTTACTCTCAACTTTTGAAAGCCTTGCCACCTGTTATTCTATCTGCATCTCACTATCGCTACTTCCAAAACAATTTCAGTGAGGGGTTTTGGGGCACGCAAGTACACAGATATGCAGTAAGGCCATTAACCTGAAGCAGTGCAATTAGAACTACAGGCAAGGGTCCTCCTTCTTGGTCTCAAGGTCAATATCACAATGCTTTAATACAAAATATTTGGGCTTTTTTAAACAGTCTTTTTTAAAATACGTAGAAAAGACTAAAAAATAATCCACCTATTCACTCTGCTGAGTTCTAACTAGTTGCTAACTAATTCCTCAAAGGCAAATCAGGTAATATGATAATATCATATTTCTGGTATCAATATGGATGGAAATAATAATATAATCTTTATTTTGTTGCTCAGTACAGTTTTCTTCCTTTCGCTGCCATTCACATTTACTGAATTTAAAGTTGTTTCAACACAACAAAAGAGATTACAAAGTTTAACAAATATATCTTTATTTTGAGAGAAAGAGTTGGGGGAAAAATCAGTAGGAGAATTATTATAAAGAAAGAAACCATTGTATCATAAATCACATGCTGAACAAGAGATTTACTATACTAACTTGCATTAAACTGGTTGACTCATTACTCTGACTTTCAACACTGAACCTCTGAACTGAGCTAATTAGGGTTTCCAGGACACTTTACAATTTTGTCATACAAATAAACTCTTGCATAATTGATCCCATATCTCGAACTTTAAGCAGTCAACCGCACCTTAATTCTCTGAGCAATCTACTTGAACTCAATCTAAAAATAAAATCTGCTTTTAGAATGTATATATATGGGCTGCACAAATCCGCATGTGCTTGTAAGACTGCAAGTGTGGACAACAGAAAAGCAACCAGAAATCTCTAGCTCTGAGAGAATGGGTCTGTTGTTGTAGTTCATTGCACCTACTCATGGCTTGAAAATGTTCGTCTACGTTATAACATCGGACTTGCACAATAACCCAACAAGGATCATTTGCAAGCTAATTCTCAACTGACAGAAACAGGTTATGGCCATAATACAGTTATAATTCGTTGGAAGTTTTTGAACGTTCACCACAGGAGGGCAATCCTGATACAACAACAGAAAGGTGTGTACCTGTGTGGGTTCTCATGTCCATATTCTCCTCACTTTCAACTGACTGGACGCAATTTGCATATTGGAAGTTGTGTCCTCATGACCATTGTGCTGATCATGAAAAGGAGTGCTTTTTAATGGAGAATCACTGTTAAAGCAGACTTTCCTTTGGCTTCCAGACTTCTTTCTAGACAGTTCACAAGGAACAGACAGATTAACACTTTTGGAAGTGTTAGTTGTTGCAGTATGCTTCTCAGCATTCATCAGTTAGTGGTGGTTCTTGCAAGTATATTTACCCCAAAATATTGAAAACCCTGCATATGGCCAAGTTAAAGGGCACATTTTCAAATATTCAGTGGCAGAACATTCTTGATATCAATATAAAAGGATATTTCCATAGAGTCAACAAGCAGCTAAATAAATAAATAAATAAATAAATAAATAAAACCAAAAGGAATCCAGAACTCTGCATGTTATTTCTAATATGACCTGCACTGTGAGCACTGAACTGTACTGTGGGTACTCAACTATTTTTTTTATTCACACACACCCATATGAAAGACTTCAAATAATTCTTATACATTAAAAGCACTTCTTAAAGTACTTGGGGATACTCAGTAATTGTCCCATTTTTGAACTAGATATTTTCATCAGTACCAATGTACTCCAAGAGTAGTGCTAATAGTTTCTTCAGCTCATGGTTGGATTGCTTGATATCTGCAACCGAATTTTTTAAATGTCTCAACTCACAGAGAAAATATCTCACAATTATAAGTGGAAGAATTTATTCCTTCACTATATCTTGAGGGGTCCATCAATCCATCAAGAATAATTGCACCCCCTTTAGTTAAGCTGGTTCAACAAAAAAACTCTTGTATGTATCTTATCTCCAAAAGGCATTTTAGAGTGAAATGTGTTCTGTATTTTTTCAAGAACACTACAATTTTGGAACCATTGGATTTCTGCTAGGCAAAACAGTTCAATACTTCTACTTTAGTAGCCTAAAAATAAAATCACTCCATACTGCCAGCAATGATCTCCACTAAAGACAGAGTTTGGAACTTACATTTAAATAAAAAATTATCAAACTTCATGATCAAAATTCAAAGTCCATATTTGTATTTTTATACTGTATTGGAAACAGAAGTCCTACTTGTGATTAACAGCAGTATCCTGGTGCCTGCTGATCTCACATCACTATAATCTGACATTGCCTGCCGTAAACAGAGCTGCTATTACTTGTTTTCATTTGACTACAGACAATCCTTTTATTTAAGAAGTAGAAGCTTACTGCTTTCACATTAATATGGCTACTGAGTGGAATACTTTTTCATGTATCTACATTATTTTTTTTCAAATGCTCAGACTTGCACAGACAAATGTGTTTTGAAATACTTGCTTTTGAGAGTATGTGTATGCACACACAAATATACACGTTCCCACACATTATGTTTGCACAGAAGCAGAGCAAGCATACATAAAATTTTGCTTTTGGCCACTTTTCTGGTGCACAAACACGAGACTCAATTCAAGTTGTCAGACAACTGCAGTGAAAGGATCCTGCTCATGGGTGCTGTGTTAAAGTTCAGTGTCCTCTGAATGTCACTTGGGCTGTCTACAGGACAGAGTCATTTCATGCAGTTTCAAACTCTCTGAGTAAAGTAGGATACATTTTAGTGTACTGTGACCCCTTCTATGTATCTGATCCTTCATGCAGAAACCAGGTCATGAATCAGTGGGGTGGATTGCAGAGGAAGGAGCAGCATGCATTCATGTAAGATACATATCCACGTTCTTAATATAGGCATTGCATCGAATGTATGCTCTTGTGTTAGGCTGCAAATATCGTAATAGATTCCTGGTACTCAAAGAAACTTTCATGTTTTCATTTTTTGCTTTGATCTTTTGAAGAAAATTTTAGTTTGTCTTTCCACACAGGTTAAGCCTTCTGATCTAGGTGTGCAAGTCTTATTTCAAGCATCAAAATAAAAAAAATTAGTTAACAACAAAGGCACTCTAAAGCTAAAACTGAATTCTTCTTTAGACAATGAGAAGGGGGGGAGTGTTGAATCTCAGGGTACCTTTTTAAATTATTTTTAGATCTGGAATTCTAGTCAGTCACTAATTTTTGAAGCACTGGTAGCTTTAAACCCAGAAGTTGTGCAACACTGTCTATCTTGCCTAGGTCTATTAAAATTCTGGTTATGCTACAAATCACCATAAACTAAAAATACTTTTCTTGAGCTACTGTAAAATACAATCTAATTTTGACAGAAATTACTATTGATTGTGTAGATTTTGTGCCTTGATAGATACCTCTCCTCTGATTACATATATACAAAGCTTAAGGTGTTCTAAAGTAGAAGCAAAAAATGCCGCGAAAAACCTCCTCATCTGGACATTTGAGGTGGCTGTGTACAGCCAGTTAAATAGTCCATCAAATTCAAATTTACCACTGCAAGGAATTCCCACTGATAGCAGAACATACCCTCTTCAGGCTTATTTCCGATAAAAAAGGAACTCTTCCATCACAAAGAAAATCTAACATATCACCACAGTAAGTCAACCTGTTGTTTTTATTTACTTAACCCATGCACTTTACAGTATAATACCTGAAAAAAGACAGTTAAGTGGTTTAACTCTGGAAAAAAACAGTTACACACAGAGTAGCTTGACCTGATTTTCTCTCTACCATTTCTGAATTTTTATCTATATTGCCTGTTTTCTGCTGTTCTTACTCCTATAGGTGTAGTCACATTAACAGGGCTGAAAACCTTGTTTGGTTTGGTTTCACTTTCATTAGGAAAAAGACCACGTTTCTTTATAGACTCAAAGATAAACTTCTAGAATTTATAGTGGCTATTGGGTTTTCCCCAGGTTTTTTTCCACTCTTTTTCCTCTTCAGGATGGCACTAAATCACACAAAATAACTTTTCTGTACATCATGAAGTTTATTATGCAGCATCTGCCGGAGTGAATGGTTCAGTTTCACAGAGAGATATATATGTATACATGACATACAGTTTGTACATGCTCAGTTATAGTATAAATCCTTCTTAGATTTAACCTTTTCCTAATTTATGGCTGTCTTTTCCCTTAAAGTTAACATATCAGAACTTTAGATGAACACATACCCCTTTTAGACATTGACGTGGCTAAACTGGTTACTCCTAGCCCCTTAACTAATCTAAAAACATTAAGGAATATAATTTCATACAGAGATAACATTGACCTTACAGGTTGTGCAAGCAATTCTTAAAGATGGGAGAAAAATACATTTGTTGTGTAAAGTCCCATAAAAGGAATAAAAATTAAAAGTTCCAAATATCAGACTGAGGAGATTGTGAAAATGTGGAAGGGAGAAAAATTTCAGCACCGTTAAATGTTTCATTTAATTGCAGAATTACATATTAATTATCTTGAACAATTATATATTAAGTATCTTGAATCCGATGTTCAAGATGGGTTTTCTTCTAGAATAACATTGTTTTTTGTATATTCTTTCTTTTGCAGATGAGAAAAGTCAAGAGTTACTAAAAATCCAAATACCATATTCTGAACTTCATCACAGTACCCAACACACTTCAATACCAAAAGGGAAATCTGCAACAAATGTCATATGTAGCAGCTAGAGAAGATAGTTTTCTTCCCTCTTTATCCCTCCCAGCATAGGATCAGCAACTTCCCAAAAGCTAAACCTTAACACACAGAGATGGTATGTTCATTTTAGGGACAATGATTTCACAAAAATAATATTATGCTTTTCTGTCTGACAAGGAGACTGGGAGACATTATTAATGGTGCTTTAGAGCAAATTCACTAGGCTTTGTTTCTCTTGTGTGTGCATTATAGATCATCATTTTTGTCTCAAGTTATGTTTAGCTATAACATTTTTTCCTAAATTCTTTCTTGATTCACTGGGAGAAGTAGATAGACAAGTCTTCTGACTTTCTGCCTGAAGATATGTTTTTCATGGAGAGGAAAACGTGCAAAAACACGCACCTACTTCCTATGCTGGAGAACAGGTTTTCCAGAGTGTGAATATAATGAACACTAACTTTAACTTTCCACACTGTAGATCAGCAGTTCCCAATATCCAGTTGCCAATAAATACATCTCCTTTTTCAAGGAACAACAATATATGCTTTAAATTGCTGAAAAGTACATTTATTTCCAAATTTAGGAAATCATCAGTTATAGAAATGACTGACAACTGCAACTACTGATCTGATGGCTTACATTATGTAATACTGTTGACAAGTAAATCATGATTTTTTTCAGCTTTATGAGGGACACCTCTACAGGTTTTATATTTTATATTTTTTACTCCCCTTTTTGAAGACAGACATCCTAATAATACAGAGTTTATAAATGCATTATGTTAAAGCAATATTTGTCAGTGGGGTTTATATGATAAAAGCTTTTCATAATAAATTTTTTTTTTATAAACACAGCTCTTAGGTCTACAGGGAAAAGCAAAGCAGGTGTTAGCCTTAATATTTTGTCTTACAACTGATATAAGCAGGACAGATTCTTCATTCAGGTTGGAAGTTCACACACTTTGAATGAAATGAAAGTACACCAAAAAGTGACTGAGAGATGACACAAAACTGGGCAGAATAGATAATTTGCAGTAGAGCACTGGAGGGTTGTGCAGCAATTCAGAGAGACTTCAACTAACTGCAAAAATAGGTTGACTGGAACTTCATGAAGTTCAAAAAAGGGGAGTGCCAAATCTTGCACCTGGGGAGGAACAACCCCAGTCCTCCAGTATTCACTGAGGATTGACCAGATGGAAAGCAGCTCAGCAGAAAAGGAGCTGGAGGGCCCTGGTGGTCACCAAGTTGAACACGAGCCAGCAATGTGCCCTTGCTGCAAAAAAAGCTAGCAGTATCCTGGACTGCATTAGGAGGAGTGTTACCACTGCTAGTAAGCCTAAACTTGGAATTCTTAGTCCAATTCTGAGCTCCCCAGTGCAAGAGACACAGTCATACTGGATTGATTCTTATAAGGAGCCATGAAAATGATGAAGAGCCTGGAGCATGAGAAAAGTCTGAGAGAGTTGCAGTGTTTAGTTTAGAGAAGATTCACAGGTCATTGTATTTATCTATAGGAAGAGAAGGTGCAAAGGCTCTTTTTGGCAGTGTTCAGTAACAGAACGAGGGGCAATGGACATCAGTCGAAACAGAGAAGGTTCCTGATGAACACCATCAGTCCTGGAGATTTTCAAAAGCTATCAAAACATCATCCCAGGCAACCGGATCTATACAGCCCTGCTTGAGGTAGTTTGATTAGATCAGAGGTTCCTTCAAGTCTCAACCACTCTGAAGTTAAAAGTAGAATCGAGATGCAGTAGCAAAATCCTGTTAGAGTTAAATATGATTTGAAGTTTCATATCTTCCAGTTCAGTCACAGAACAATAATTTTGGAAGTGCAGCAGTGTTGCTTTTGTCACATTGATAGGTAGATCACGTTTATATTAACTAATTTTTATTGTATACTTTATGTTTATACTTACTAGGAAATTTAGACATCAGTAAATATCTGTCCAAGTATCTGGAGTATCTGCAAGTATCTGGAAAGTTTAATTAAATATAAATCAGAACCACTCTTAAAAATTCAAAACTGGGGAATCCTCAGTGCTTCCCATTCAGCTCTTCCCTAAGGACAAAGATGAGTAGATAATAATGTGATCAGTCATCTGAAAATCCAGACTTGGGAAAAACAGTGAGCTGAATGAATTCTAGCATCTTCAACACAGTGCAGTGAAAGAAATATGAAAAAATTCTAAGATTTAAATATAGCATTGGCTGTTTGTATTGTTCATTACGATGAGTGAGAGATCCCAGATGTTCTCATTTATGGACAGCCAAATATTTTGCCAACTGCTGCACCAATTCCTTTGTCTGGTGTGTTTCACCCATTCTCCCTGAGATAAAAGTAAAATTTTAAATGTAAGTCTGTAATTGTTTAAGAACTTCTTTGCACTAGAGGAATTAAACTCACAGCAATTTTGAAGCACAGACAGAAAAGTTCATATTAGGCACCCAATAAAGATACAGTGGGTAGGTAGAAGCAGTGCATACTTGTACGAGACAGCTACACAAC